TGGCAGTGGAAGTGGATTAGCTCGCCCCGGTTGTTGTTTACTGGTCAAAATGCATTTTGCCACCATGTACACGATGGTCTGGTTTTTGGATAAAAAGCGATGGCCAACATTGCTTTCATCTTGTCTGTTGTCTTACATCCGTTAGCAACGAGTGTTCGGATTAAAGTGTGGCTAGCCTAGCAGTTAAGGATTTTGGCCTCTTCATGAATAATATTAAGTGCTGGTCAAGCTGTTCTGCCCTAGAATCCTAGATTTGCCCCAGTAGAGCGTCCGTAGTTGTTTACTACAGGCGTGGCCACCCGTTGTACATTTGAGGAGGGTCTCCTCCAGATAAGTATAGAACCAACTTTCCGATCCAATAGAGAGGGATAACTTGATTGGAGTGCTTTGTTCGAATTACTAACCATCTCGCCACTCGTGCTTCAGCATAAGATTCGCTGGTCAAAAAATCACCATAATATTTACTAATCATGAACGAAATACAAAAGTGGGAATTAAATTGTCTTATATTATGATTGGGGTGTTTACTAGTTTTTCACTTAAGAACACTGAGTTGGAATTCTTTTAAGATTTTCTGTGACTTATGAGAATGAGGTTGAACTCTTTAAAAGGGAATAGAGGAAAAAGACTATGAAAATGACATGGAAAAAACAGTTAGTTCCATTCTTTCTTCATTATCTCCATTCACAACGTGAGGTAGGTGAGAACTTCTCCTCATTTCCTAAGTGACTTCCATAGTCCAGAGTCTTTTAAGGAGTGGGTTCTACCATTTTACGATTAAGGAGATCTACATTGCAAGAATCAACAGCGGTGGGCACTTTACTCTAATCAGCTCGGATGAAGGCGTAGGGGTCAAAACGTGGCCACTACAAAGTCATTTGAGGGCTTTGTGATACTGTATCAATGAAACAAGATATTATTTACACCGAGGTTGCACGATAGTCAGTTTCCAAAAGCGGTAATACTAATTTCGCTTTTCTCTCTGAAGAATTTCCAAGAAAAACAGCAAGTAGTTGTTTTTTTATTGACAATCTAACACGACGTTGGTAAACAATTTTATTCAGCCAAAACGTCAACGTCTTCGTCTTCTCCAGGGCCGATCGGCCTCGTGTTAGTTTATCAATGAAAGAATAGTCGTACCGAGGTTATGTTGAAATCAGTTTCTGAAATATGATTACGTAGGGTCTGTGCTAACAAATAAGCCTTCAAAATCTAGGCCGTCATTGCCAAACTGATTCGTAGAATCACAACCACGCACGCATGCATGAATACGTCCTCACAGACACAGAATGTACGGGTCAAATCGACGCAGAAGAAACAGGGCAGGGAGTCCATACCCTGGATCAATTTGCGTCCTAGGGAAGCAAAGGTTGCTCTTGTTCCGCGATTAACCCCTCATCCGCCACTTGGAGACGGATCACGTTGCCTCGCAACTAACCGGCAAGGGAACCTTTTGTGGGGAAGATCCATAGCAAAATGTTTAAATCTAAAATCCGTAATCGTTGAAGATAATACGAATATAAGAATCGAATCCATAAGCATTCTACTCAAAAAGTTTTCATGCAGCAACAAAGCAAAGAGATATTATAGTGCAATTTTACGACAGCTTCTGCCTTTTTCTACTCACCACTCTATGATAGAAGTGTTCGGTATAGACGTGGTCTGCCTAACTGTGACGCCTAGAAACAACACGTTATCGTCGCTTTTCTTAACAAAACCTGCTCATCACGTCATGCAATAAACATCCTAGTAAATTATAAAATTTTTCCGGTTAGCTACACCTATAGGTATTTTCATCCGCTGTTCAGACAGGTCGAGCATGCGGATCGATGATGTCGTTGGAAAATGATTCAACTTCTGCTCGACTATTCTCAACGAGGTATTTTGAGTGAACGCATGAAACCATTAATGCAAGGACGGAATTTCCCATGCTTGAGTCATATTGAGTAAGAAAGGACTCTTAGTGATTAGGCAGAATTACGGTAGCAGAAAAATTTCAAACATTAAAAGATAACATCATTGGGAGTCGTCCGCCTTTCGTGTTTGCCAATCTAGCAGCGTATAGCAAGCACGGTTATTTGCAAAGTCAGCCGATGACGAAAACAGCGGTTTTTCTCCGACGAGGAAATTTACTTCCACATGACATAAACGCTTGAACTGATTGGATAGACGAGTACGATCATACCTGGAATAGTTTTAATCATACTACTGCATTGCACTTGAAGAGCTACGAATGTGTCAAATTCATAGAAAAAATTTGCTGCCACAATATTCTACTGCCACAATATTTTTTCCAAAAAAAAAGATGGCATTTCGCCTTCCAATCGTGAAAAACCTAATTTCCAGGGTTTCCAGTGCGAGAGTCAACGATGCATTTGGGAGTATCATTGCATTTTCCAGATGAAATAGTGCTTCTCTTATCGTTTTTCAGCTTGCAGTTGAAACCTTAACCCAAGAAAAGCGAGCGGTTTGAAGAAAAATGAGCGGTTTTGTGGATTACAGGAAATCCGTATTTAGTAGAGGCAGGACAAGACCTTCCTTCTGCATCATCCTTCTACTAACAAACTTGTTATCACTGTTTCTGCTTTATTAGATGAAGTTCACAATGAGATCAGATATAACTTCAATGATGCTGAGATATTTGCGAAACTCCGTACCGCAGGTGTACGCGGTGGTGAACGAACGCGCTATTGTCTTTTCCGGGGAGCAGCGCGTTCACCACCACACCACGCGGGTCCTTCGTTTCGCCTGTCTCTCAGCTAGTTCTATCGATCTTTTGCCATCAGCAATCACCCATCAACGGGATTGATCTAGGGGAGCCAAAATCGGCATTGGCAATTGGCATTATAACTAAATAGTTTTGCAAATATCTCAGCATTATATACGAGTTATATTTCGGCATGGTTATTGACAAGGTGTTCGGCAACGAACCCAGTTAAGCTGAGGCAGCAGTTATAATCACAATTTCAACTTATTACTTGCTGCCTACTCTTTTTAACGGCAGGGTATACATGTTCACAATGTTAAAATTGAGATCAGATATATTTGTTTTCAGTTGATGGGCAAAGTTGATGGCACCTTACGTCGTTTATGACTCGGTGACTCAGATTGTCGCAAATGCTCCAACAGTTTCTGTTGCGCGAAAAGGTGTAGAATAGGTATATAATTTCTGGCATACATGAAAAAATGCGAAAAAGACACATTACGATGGGTAAGAAATGAATGACGATCATCACTAGGGCAGAGGTTCACCGAACAGAATCCAAGTAGAATAGTGCTACCCATAAGGGTTTGAAATTTAAGACGAATGTTCCCTCGAAATAATTCTTCATTTAGTCCTCAACGCAACTGTGTAAGCTGGAAAACATAAACGTTTTCGTTTTACTCCGACCGAATTTGCATACGTAAAATGATGGTAGATGATAGACAGAGGAAGGTCGAAAGATGAAAAGTGGAAAAGAGGAAGAGACAAGTAGACAGCGAAGATAAGACAAATAGCTAGAACTAACCTGGGAAGGTAAACATCTAATAAAAACTAGGCCACTGAAAGTCATTCCACCTCTTCGATGCTACGAATGGAATCGAATGCATTGTGTTTCCCTCAGAGATTTATCACAGCCGAACGCTTTATCCTTCATTCTCTGTGCTCAGTTTTAATTGGTCTCTAGCCTTTCTATCGTCATTCCGCATTTCTGGTCAGGTCATAAAAGCGAATGTTTGCAATTCTATGCAAAGTTGATCGCAAAAGTGATCGTTGATTTGTGTTCATTTTTCCCTGAGTATGTCTAGTTTTTAATGAACATAAAGTCGTTTTATGGACATTTGAAACAACGCGGTCCTCATTTACCTTTTCATTAATGATCACGAAGCTGCTATAAATGTTTTTATTCGGCTGACGTTTCGACGCCTTCGTGGTCCTGTAGTGGTTCGAGTCGTTTCTCCACAGCCATTCACTCTTCTGATGTGGGTCTTCGATGTCGCATTGAGACGAATCATTTAGTATGGAGCGCGGTTGAGTGAAGCTTTATACTAATCTGCTGTTAGCTTGTCAACAAAAAGAAAAAACAAACCGGTAAGCTATGCACAGGTAAAGCGGAACCCGATTCACAAAAATGAGGTTTTTGTACCTTGCTTTATTGGTAAGCTAACATGAGGTTACTACCAAATATTTATTTGACTAACGTCTCGACGTTTCCGACTTCCGGTCGGTGATCAACATCGGCTCTGAGGAAGACGAAGACGTCGAGACGTTAGCGGAATAAACATTTGGTAACAACCTTGTGTTGACTTATCAATGAAACAAGGTACATTGGTCATTTATATCCAGGTCAAATGAAAAAAATAATAAAAATATATGAGTATAATAAAATAAATATAAATGGAAGTTGGTTTGCAATAAGGTCTTTCAATTTCAACAAAAGACCAAAGGACAACAAAGGGATCACAAGTTTATCAATTCTATGGTGTTAACTGAGTTTCTGCAGGAGCGAAATTCATATAGACTTCGAAAACGGCTTCTCCGCTATCCATATACTTACTCCTTAACTAGAGCAACTTCTTCCATAGCTGACGCTCTGTGAAAGAAATGGCAAGCACCTTGGAAAATCAGAGCAAAACGATTCCGAATGGGTCGTTTTTTTTTCCTTTTATTTCAGCGACATTCGTCACTTCTGTCACAGAAGATCATTTAGGAGAGTATCTAGCCTTAGAGCAAACAGAACAATCGTAATGTTTTAACATCTGCTCCGAATGACAAGATAGTATTTTGTTTTGATTGAAATGGAGTGGAGAGCGCACAGAGTCCTTTCAGATACTGCCACGATTACTTATGTTCGGAATTTCGCAAATACATAACGTGTACACGAATGTGGACATGTGAGGACGACCTACATAGTGGGCTCAGCTTAATTTCACTTGAAACGTTAAGACTCTTCTTGTTCAGAAAAGATCATAACCTGCGTATGTTTGTTACGGATTATTCGGTCAGAACCATCTTTGCAATGACTAGCTCCGACACTGTGATTGGACAGTATGTGCTTCGACTTGTGGAGATTTGGAAAGGTGTCTGCGGCATACGTACAGGAGATGGCAGTCAGTTCAAAATCCAAAGTCAACTTTTATTAGTAGGACTATGGACCGATACGGTGAATAAGGGTAAAGGTCTGAAATGTTACAGTAAACTTGAAGTGATGTTGTTTGAATAACTAGCACACCATTTTATTTTATTTTATCTTCCGCTTCCATCTGCGACCTTTTCATCTCGTTATCAGTTTGGAAGAAAGACAGCGCATCATAATAGCGTAAACCGTGATGAAAAAATCGAATTCAACCTATGATGATGCCCTTTTTGATGTTTTGCGGAAGTCATGAGCGTAATGGTCAGACGTTTCTCCTTTCTTATCTACATGTTCGCCCCAGATTTTAACGAGTTCTATCAAAAGATCTTCTACCGGCATTTGTCAGATTCACGCGCCACACGGTTAGCCAGCGTATTTTCGACACTGGTGTCCTTCGTTTTTCTTCCCATTTTTCATATGGCTCTACCTACATCGACTCTTTTTCTTTCTTGTCATAATCAGCGACGGGGCTTTCACTTTCTGTCAAGTGGTTGCTCCTTTTTCATTAGAATGATGACTGCATTTAATCATTATTTCATTAATAGCCTTAATAGCCTTTCATTTACATACCAGAATATTTAACATTGCACATGCTGCCTCAATAAGCAATGTCAAGCAGATGGTGTAGAAGAGAACACTTCAAAATACGTGATAATAGGATCGTTTCTCGCCAAGCTTAAAACTAAAGGACAGGTAAAGATAAGATTTTACGAGGAGGAAGGTTATAATTAATATGAGTGGATGTGGGAAGTGCACAATCGAGTCCAAGTCATTCATTATCCGTCACTACGAACCTGTCTGCGGGCTCGGCAATGTCTAAAGAACCGTTTATTCCTTAAGGCGTTATCGGGGTTAAGTGATGGTCGCATTATCAGTAAATGTTTACCGATCATCGACTACAAAACATAAACTACAAACTAGAAACAAATAATTGCAAGGAGGGACTGGAGTCTGGGTCTCCGAGCCAGAACACACTCTACTCGGCTGCGGGCAACGGGCGAACGCCGAGGAACTCGCCCACCGTGTATAAATGCCTCTGTCGCGCCTTCAGTTGTTAGTTCTACACCAGTGTATCGCAATCAGTCCGATTCCTATACATCATGCCTGGAAAGTGTGGTATGTTTTAATTCCTTCAGTATCCAACTACATTGTTCCACTAAAACAAGCTCTACCACAAATTTCATTAACGGAGCCACGTTTTCCTGTTTTTCTCTGAGTTGGATATCCAGGTCTGGCCAATTCATTCATCCTAAGATAGCCTCATTCCTGGTTTGAATCCAATGAAAACCTTATAGACTGCATAGAAACTGGCCGTTATAGTGAGCTTTAGATTCCGTAGCAATAGCGTTCCGAGGTCTTTTACGTAGAGCGCCGGCGCTAAAATCGAAGACAGTCCAAATGCCAGACTTGGTTTATTACTTGCTTAGTATCCGTTTATCAATGACGGGCATGTCTTTCCAAATAAGATTAGCTCTTCGGTCTTGTGGGAATTTGTTCAATGGAAAGAGATTTTTAGCCCAATCATGCCACCATGATTTTGATTTCGTACAAAAATCAAACGTTGTTGTCGTAATCGCTGCCAATAATACCACATAAAACCAATAGATTGTTCGAGAAAAAACAAGCATACTGTATCGACTTGCAGACATCGTGTTGATTAGACTAATTTCTTCCATTATAACTAGCCGCTATCCCATATTTTTTCGAAGTGTATCTACGAAGATGTATCAGACCGTCCCGTGAAGAACAAGTCTGTACTATTGGGAAGCCTTTGGGGACTCTGTGGAACCCATGGCCGTTCCAATCAGTCCTGCCCGATGCGTCAGCCAACACGTCGACGACGCAGAGGGCGACGATTTAGAGGCAATTGCGAAACACAACGATCGGACGAGTCGCAAGTGCAACACGTTCGCTCTTCGTAACAATATTGACATGTCCCAGCTAGGTCGTACACACGGTCATTCTTTAAGTGATTTCATTTTGAAAATGTGCTAGCATTTGATCTTCAGGTTGTAGTGCCACCCATTTCTGTAGACCTCCCGAGCGCTCTACACATTAGTCGCGGATACCTCCTAGGAAGCTATGAGAAAATGGGAAAGCGTTTTAACTCCATTACATATCTGCGAATTTCACAAGTATTGCTGAACATGAATATTGCCTATATTGGAACATCATCAGAACGAGGTTTGTTCAATAATTCATAGTGTCCTCGATGAGCACACGCGGGGTTGTTAGCATACCATTCGGTTTCACCTTCTTCAAAGCCTAGAACATAACCTCAACAGAAGAACCTGACCTCTAGATTTCAGTCGCATTAAAAGTCGTATTGGCCGGACACTCACCGTTTTCTATGAGTATTCCACTTACTTATTCTTGTTATTGATGAAAACAACTGCACAGAGGTCACACGGATAGGTAATGTGCCTCTATTACTTTCCTACGCTTAGAAAAAGGTGATTATGTGGTGAAACCTTTTTGAATCCAACGCGCTTGAAATTCAGGTTTCATTATCCTTTTGTTGATGTTATGAAAGTATCTGGCTGACTATACTCCAATTAAACTTGGCCTTTCTAGGCTCTGATATTCAATGCCGAGGTTAATATAAAGTCAGCATTGGAAACTACATTTCGTTTGCTTCTAACGGGCATAGACTTAGAAGTTTCACTCAGCCGTCGAACCACAGAAACATTTCCATATTCTTGACACCGTACGGTTTCAGAAATAATCTCAAGGACACTTGACACTTCGGGATCGACTTATGCAGAAAAATGCTTGAAAAGTCTTGCTTACGATTTTAGCTAAATGCGGTTGCGTAGACGGTTGCAAGTGTTGCGAAGGTGGGGAATGCGAGAAGGGCTGCAAGTGCTGCTCGAAAGGCTGTGGCTGTGGTCCCGACTGCAAATGTGGTACGTCGAAGTGCTGCGGAAGTGAGAGCGGACAGAAGTGCTGTGATGAAGGAAAGAAGTGTGGCGAAATGGGCAAGAAGTGCTGCGAAGGCAAACCGTGCTGCAAGTAATCTTCAACCGGTGTAGCGCCCACCACTTCATTCAGGTTGATCGCTTTCAACATACACTTTACTAAAAGATTGACACCTTAGGAAGAGCATACCATGAAAGCGAATAATACTTGAAAAATCTATTCATTTCGAAAATTGAGTTCTTGGAAATAAAGGGAGTTTGATTAAACTGAGGGGAATTGATTGCGCTTCATGTTCCTAGCCTCATATTGGGGCTTACGAATGACGACAGAAAAATTAGTGAAAGTATATAATATGTAAACGCTACGTGAAAAAAGGTTTTCTCTTCGGCTACACTGTTCTACTTGCAGCTGTAATGAGAGAGGCGAAACGAAGGACCCGCATGGTGTGGTGGTGAACGCGTTAGCTCCCTGAAAGGGTAATAGCGCGTTCGTTCCCCACCGCAGACACCTGCGGTCCGGTGTTTTGCAAATACCTCAGCATCATTGTGGTTGTAATGGGAGTTTTTAAAAGCATTTCTAAAAAAGATTCGCAATTTTCAGATTATCGACGTGTTTCGACTTGAGTTCTCGTGTTCTAATCCTTTTCTATCATCATATAATGTTTATGTTTTCCTGTTGTATAAATAATTATGCATAATGTCGTCGAACACTACTCGGAAAAGTACCGAGCACAACGATTTCAACGGCGACACATGGAAAAACAAAGAGTTCTCCCGGGCCACGAATACCGTAGTCACGCCCGAATATTCGATATTGATTGGACTGGAACAAGTAGCTTGTTGAGAAATGGACGATTCCGCTAATTGATGATAAAGTTGGAAATATCACTAGAGACGATCTTTAAATTTACGACGGCCTCAATCGGATTTTCCAATACTTTGATATATCGAATCGATCTCGATCCTATAAAACAAGGATCACGGAACATGTGAGAACGCAATACTTATGGGAATGTTAATGAGTTTTTGTGAAGACTTATGTGAATAATTCTGATGGAAATCTCCTCCAAATCATCTATTAGGACAGAATTTGAAATAAGCGCCTTTACAAGGATTTTCCTCCCACGTCTCGTTTAGATACTAGTGTGGAAGTGGCAAATGGCATAATCTCATGCATTTGAATACTTGAATGATACACCTTCGTCAGTGACTGTGCAGGCCACAGTGCGTTTTTCATCTGGCTGGTACCTCACTAGTTGGATTTGATTTTTTCAGCGGAGTTATGAAATAGGCTTGCAAGTAACCATATGCCGTCGTCAACTTTTGTAGACTCGAGAAAGGTTTTCAGCCTTACGAGTAGGGTTCTTCCAAAACCGGAGCTTCCGCCGGTCCAAGGCGTGCGAAGCAATCATCAAGCATTTGATGTTTTCCAGCTCAAATTATACAAAAAACTTGAAAAGTTCTATAAATAGTGATGCAATACATGTGTAGGACGCCTCTTCAATAATTCACAATAACAGAACTTGCTAGGAATAGTATTTCCATAGCTTCCACTTATTAGCGCCACATCTGTGACTACATGGTTGATTTCGTGCGTCACAACGTTAGAAAGAATTTGAACTCAGACAAAGCTGCGCACACATCTGATTCGCACAGAATTGGGTTATACTGATGAGCTTTCTTAAAGTCTCAAATAATTACAGTAAAGGAAAACATGCGGAAAGTCGTTTAATAAAGTTTTAACATCATGGTATTTTGGTTCGTTTGTTAGTCAGTAATTTCCTATAGAGCCTATAGAGCATACGATTCCTGCACAGGCTTTCACGTATAGGATTTGCTTTGTGCAGTAGATTTTGTCCCAGTTATTTCATAGCTTTGTCATTCTCTTAGGCGAAATCTTTAAAAGTGCTTATTGGTTCAAGTGGTCCTTTAAGTCGACCCGCATCACGATTGAACAAGCCATTCACTCCTTCGGGTGCCCGACTTATCTGGAAGGGCAGTAATGCTGATATCCGCAGATCCATAGATCACTGCAAATCATTAGATAATCCAGCTTTGCATCCATCTGCACGAAGCTTGATGGAATCAAATGCACGGAGGATCCTTAATGAACTGGTCAACGCTGAACGCTTTATCTTTTATTTTTCTGTTCTCCGAAGTTCTGTTATTCCATGACGGGAAACTCTTTGTTCACTCACAAATACACAAATGCACACACTTTAACCACACAATCGTTCTTGTGCATCCAAATACATACAGTAATACATCTATTTACACAGTCGCGTGTACAAATCAGTACTGGTTACATGTATATATAAAAACATACGAATACATATATTCGTACATGCACATAGACAGAACAATATGCTATTGTTCGTTTCTACTGTAAATAGCTTGGAAGCGACGGTGTCATACTCTGAAATCCATTGTTAACAGTGAAATTGCCATTACGAATTAGAATGGCGACGGTTTTGCAGCAGGCAGTGTTTTCATTCATGGCGGACCACCATTCAGTCGACTTGTGGGATTAAACGCCGACATGGTGTTGAGGGCATATTCGTAAACGGTTGAGAGAAGCGAGTTTGGCAATAGGCTTCAACGAAAGTTCAAACAACTCTGGTTAGTGACGTATGCAAAATTTAGTTTCGACAGCGTTTTCTCTAACATTAGAAATTAGTTGCTGATGTGCGTATAATATAGTGATCGCTGTGTAAGTGGTTTTCACCATAAAGTCAGATAACGAGAAAGTTTCTGCCAAGGCGTTAGCAGGTTCTTACATTTAATTTGTGGTTGAAAGCATGAAATTTAAACGATTTTTGTGGTGGTAATAGGTAGATGAAATTGACTAGAGTAGGCCTGCTGGTTTACTAGAAGAGGGATAGGTTTTACATCAAAAGAAGGTGACGGTTGTCAAACGGTTGCAATCAACTATGACCCTGTACAATATAATATACCATCCTGGGAGACCCTATCTTTTCTATTTTCAGTAGGTAGAACAAGGAACACTGAGCTTCAATGGTTTTCTGCCTGCCTCTCTGGGATTCGAAGGTGCTTCTGGATAACGAGCACGAATGTATAGCGGAGAGTTCGTTAGCGCAGAAGGGTTGGACCTATTCTGCATCATAGCACGGAGAGGTGCACAAGAATAGGGTTCAGCAAAAATGGTAGAAAAAGGGTACATACCAAAAGTTTTATGCTCTGTGTTTTAGATGACTGGAGTTCTCCGATACTTGCTCGGTTTAATCTATGAACAGTGGATCAACAGATGAGAGTGACAAGAAGGTGTAGATGACTAATCTGTTCGACAATTTGAAAGTATTCTGATTGTTGTTAGCTCAGAAAAGTCTTCTCCTTGCAGCAATCGTAATCCCGTCGCCACAACCAACGGAATTTATTAGCTCGTTTTCCTTATCTAATCATCAGTCAATTGTTGCTGAAGCATTCGCCTATCGCAATACGGTTATTTTTTTGCAGAAGTCTCGACTTTTTAAGAGGACTTTTTCTGTCTTCCAAAAAAAACCTTAAAACCGAAGAAAACTACTTTAACGTTTTTTAGATATGACGTGATGACATCGTGCAGTGAGGATCTGAGCTTTTTGGACTAAGCCTAGCATGCCGCACTCGATTATGCACGATTTGCTTCTTATTGTGGTCAGCCAAGTTACTTGTCATTAGAACAGCTGAGAATAAGTGAAGAGCGAATACTATTCTCCAAGTAATTCTTCGTATTTTTGTTGGGCAAACGCGAGGTGTTATTGATCTTTATTCACGAATAAGCTGACGTTTCGGCGGATTTATACTATATATAATTATTAAAATTTTTATCATTATACTTCCATGTGATTTCTGTGCGGTTGGTTTCTACGTGACATACTTAGTGGAAACCTCATAGAAAGCGGCTCTGAGGAAGGCGAAATCCGCCGAAACGTCAGCTTATTCGTGAATAAAGAACAATAACACCTCGCGTTTGCCCAACAAAAATACGAAGAATTACTTTATTACTATTACTTGATCAATGCCGAGGTTAATAGAAAGTCGGTCGTGGGAGTTACTATTCTCCAAGTGGTTTTTAAAGCATTCTCTTTCAATTATTTCAAAGTTACACATTTCTAAGCAACAGTACAGCTGAAGTGGCTAAAAATGAACGTAGACAAATGTAGACGTGATGTTTTTGAATAGTACCAATTCAGCCTTGGAATTCTTTATAATAAAAGCTACGAACCAATACTAAGGTCTACCACCGTCCTGATATCAAAGTTGTCGCATGGTGGCAAGTCTCCCTCTGATCCACAAGGACCGGAGTGCCTGTGGCGATGACGGCCTGGGGCAGACTTTGGCCGGGCTCTCTTCGAGATTCCAGGGAAGCACAATGGCTGAACTAGCAAAACTCCGAAAAAGTGGGAATTTTGCTGGGGTCCGCACAACCAGTGAAGACGAGCCTTTCAAGTACCCATATATCTAACTAAAAGCTGCAAGGGTCAAGCTTGGCAATTTCAAAAAATCAGAAAAGGTTACCTCAAAATGCTCCAATTTTCTTTCAAGATTTTTTAAAGGTGGTTTAAAGATTGATAAATGGAAATTTCAACGGAATTTTAAATGATGCTTCGTATCGTCTGCAATACACCGTTAGAGCGTAATCGAGGGAAACTGCGACGTGACAGAAAGTAGTGTAGAAAGGAAGACTTTCAAAGTTTCAGTGCATTTTATCACTGAAGACGAGATAACGAGGGAGTTTCTAGTTGTTGTGATGGCGCTCGTCGAGTGAAAACAGAATTTGAATACTAAGTTCCACATTCACCAGTCTAAGAATGTTTTCTTTATTCGCGTTGCATTGATTCAACTGTTCCTACCTTGCAGTTCTTCCAATAATTTTTTTTCATGGCACACATTTTCAACGCAAGGGCTTTACTACCACTATTTTTTCTTTACTTCTTCTTTTTAATGTATACACAAAAGGGTTACCGATTTAATCCAGACTCAGGCCCATCCAGCCTCCCATCTTTTTTGCGGTTGGTGAGTTGGCAGCTGACTGACACATTGTACTTCCATGTGATTTCTGTGCGGTTGGTCTCTATGTGACATACTTAGTGGAAACCTC